CTCTTTGCCTTCTCCCTCCCCCCCTTCTCCATCTCCTTCATCCTCGCCATCTCCTGTGCCAGCCCTCCCCGTGGTCTGCCGCACGCCATGGCGTACAACAACCAATACGGAGATCCTCATACAGGTGTACGCACCCCTGATTCCTTTTCCCCCGCCGGTCCGACTTGCTGAGCCTGAGCCCTGAGACGGAGACTCAAAGACAAAGGGACACTGACGCTGACACTGCTTCTCTACAGTACGACAACGACCGTAGGCACGATGAGGACGAGGTCGCCCGCTCGCTGCTGCACGAGAATCCCACGGGCACCCAGGACCCCTTCTATGGCAACCCAGAGGTCCGCCCCCATTCTACTTACAGCTTGACCGAGACATACGCAACCGAGCGGCCTACGCAATATCCTAGCGAGGCCCATGCTGGCTCCGACAACTACTCGGCCACGGGGGGCTATGACCCGGCCGCTGATTTTGGGGCTCCCCAGCGCGCCGCCTCGCCCTACCAGCGCAGCGAGACCAGCTCGACCGAGGCATGGCGACAGCGACAACAGCCAGGAGGCGCGGCCGCGGCCGCTGGCGGTCTCAAGCGTGGTATGACCCGTAAGGTCAAGCTCGTCCAGGGCTCCGTCCTCAGTGCCGACTACCCCGTGCCCTCTGCCATCCAGAACGCGATCCAGGCAAAGTACCGCAATGACCTCGAGAGTGGTAGTGAGGAGTTTACACACATGCGATGTAAGTGTCACGTCAAACGCCTGACATGCGATTCATACCACCCTTCTACACATCTGACAGCGGCTAGACACGGCGGCCACGTGCGACCCCAACGACTTCACGCTGAAGAATGGCTACAATCTGCGCCCTGCCATGTACAACCGCCACACCGAGTTGCTCATCGCCGTTACCTACTACAATGAAGACAAGGTGCTCACCGCTCGCACCCTGCACGGTGTCATGCAAAACATCCGCGACATTGTCAACTTGAAAAAGTCTGAGTTCTGGAACAAGGGTGGCCCGGCCTGGCAGAAGATTGTCGTGTGCCTTGTGTTTGACGGTATCGACCCCTGTGACAAGGGCACGCTTGATTTGCTCGCCACGATCGGTATTTACCAGGACGGTGTCATGAAGAAGGACATTGACGGCGTCGAAACCGTGGCTCACATTGTAGGTTCTGCCCAAGCCGACGAGACTGGCATGTCACGCTAACAGACACAGTTCGAGTACACGACCCAACTGTCCGTCACTCCCAATCAGCAGCTCATTCGCCCGCACGACGATAGCGCTAGCACGCTTCCTCCAGTGCAGATGATGTTCTGCCTGAAGCAGAAGAATACAAAGAAGATCAACTCGCACAGATGGCTGTTCACCGCTATTGGCCGCATTCTGAACCCAGAAGTGTGTATCTTGCTCGATGCCGGAACCAAGCCTGGCCCCAAGTCACTTCTCGCGCTCTGGGAAGGGTTTTACAACGACAAAGATTTGGGCGGCGCATGTGGTGAGATTCATGCTATGCTCGGTAAAGGCTGGAAAAATCTCCTGAATCCGCTCGTTGCTTCACAAAATTTCGAGTACAAAATCAGTAACATTCTCGACAAGCCCCTGGAGTCCTCCTTCGGATATGTCTCGGTGTTGCCCGGTGCTTTCTCTGCCTATCGTTACCGCGCAATCATGGGCAGACCTCTCGAGCAGTACTTCCATGGTGACCACACATTGGCGAAAATCCTTGGAAAGAAGGGTATTGAGGGCATGAATATTTTCAAGAAGAACATGTTCTTGGCCGAAGATCGTATTCTCTGTTTCGAATTGGTTGCCAAGGCTGGTTCCAAGTGGCATCTCACCTACATCAAGGCCTCCAAGGGTGAGACCGATGTGCCTGAAGGTGCTGCAGAATTTATTGGTCAGCGTCGTCGCTGGCTCAATGGTTCCTTTGCAGCCGGTATTTACTCGCTCCTCCACTTCGGTCGCATGTACAAGAGTGGGCACAACTTCGTTCGCATGTTCTTCTTGCACATTCAGATGATCTACAACATCTGTAACACTATCATGGCTTGGTTCTCTCTGGCATCCTTCTGGCTTACTACCGTGGTTATCATGTCTCTCGTCGGTACCAAGACTGATACTCGCGATGCCTGGCCCTTTGGAAACGATGTTACTCCCATCATGAACACCGTCATCAGCTACATCTATCTCGCCTTCCTCGGTCTCCAATTCATTTTGGCCTTTGGTAATCGACCAAAGGGTTCCAAGTGGTCGTACATCATATCCTTCTGCGTCTTCGCTTTGATCCAGCTCTACATCGTCATCCTTTCAATTTACCTCGTGGTCCAGGCGTTCACGAGTCCTTCCAGTCAGAAGCTCGATACATCATCAGCCAATGCTTTTGCGTCATCGTTCTTCTCCTCCGACGGTGTAGGCATCATCATCATTGCGATTGCAGCTACCTTTGGTCTCTACTACGTCGCTTCATTCCTGTACATGGATCCGTGGCACATGTTCACGTCGTTCCCTCAGTACCTCCTGGTCATGTCGGCTTACGTCAACATTCTCAACGTCTATGCCTTCTCCAACTGGCACGATGTATCTTGGGGTACAAAGGGTTCCGACAAGGCCGATGCGCTTCCCTCGGCGAAGACAGAGAAGGCATCAGATGGAAAGCATACTGTCATCGAGGAACCAGATCTACCTCAGGCCGATATTGACAGCCAATTCGAGGCCACCGTCAAGCGCGCTCTTGCTCCCTACGTTCCCCCGGCTGAGAAGGACGAGAAGACTCTTGAGGATTCTTACAAGTCTTTCCGTACCCACTTGTGCACAGCTTGGATTGGTTCAAACGCTCTGCTCGCTGTTGTCATTACTCAGGAAAACTTTGATCGCTTCGGTTTCTCGGTAAGTCAACACCACCCAAGTTTATCCTCTTCACGCTAACAAAGAATAGTCAACCGCCTCCAGCCGAACCATGCATTTCTTCCAAGCCCTTCTCTGGGCCACGGCAGCCCTCGCGCTTGTCCGTTTCATCGGTTGCGTGTGGTTCCTCGGACGCACTGGTCTCTTCTTCTGCGTCAGGAGGCGCTAAACAACCAATGCAACCACCCATCCAACAAGTAGCGACTACTGTATTATCGCTCGTCCAACGACCCCATTTGCCTATTATAGAGCTATGTTTTCGATTCCCCTAATCGTTGGTGCTGGCGTTTCCTCATCTTGGTTGTGGCGGCCTCTTCGACTCCAGCTGGCTGGTGCTGTGCTGTGCAGTCGGTCCAACATGATGCCCTCCCTCCCCCCTCCCCCCTCCCAAAAAAAAACGCCAATCTGCGCATCAGCCACCGCACCATATACGCATAGGCTACGAGTTTGTATCATCTTTGTCAGCATTACGCATGGATGATTTGTTGTTGGGTCTTCTCCCCCAACATCTGTGCGGATAGCGGCTTCCAGCGAGCGAGAGAGAGAGAAAGAGAGAGAGCATTTGACTCCATGATTTTGATTTAATTGTGCGGGATCTAGGTTTGCTTGAATTTTTTTAGATTGAATGTGAAGCCTTGTCTCATAAATCAGGTGCCCCTAGGTGACATTTGGCGCATTCTTTTTTAACGCGGATTTATGGCTAACAAAGGGTAGTAATGCAACTTTATCAGGAGTATATGTGCGGTAACAATTACTTTAGCTTTAACCGTGTACTATGCACCTTTGGAAAGACTTCTCTAGCGCTGTTACGCCTATCTTGTACACAGTGTGGTTTTTGTTACAGGCTAAGTATTTCTAGGTTGTCTTGGTGTTTAGGGGCAGTATTGATATATACCTCAATTTCGAGATATATCGATACCGTGCTTGATTTCCACGTTGATGCCAACCTCGGTATCGCGATATATCAATACCCACCTCGATACCTGCATTGGTGCCCGCATAGGTATCGCAATATCAACTTGAGTACCGAGGTGAATATCGCTACCCATACCTCATCCCCTGACTTTTCTAACTTACACTGGTACTAGTACTGTTACTAGTACTACTTTGCACTCCACTACACCGTTCCAAACACCACCAACATGCTAGGCCCCAGCAGGACTTCTTACAAGCGAGTGCATTGCCAGTTCGTCTCGCTGCCTTGATGGGGGAGGCGGGGCGGGGAAGTGCTGGTTGGTTAGCAGTGATGGGGTTGGGTTGAGTGCGTGTCACCGGCAAGCAAGATTTGTGTAGGTGGGTTTTTGGTAAGAAACGCCTTGCACGCAGGGTACTGTCATAGAACAAAGCTAACAATGAGCCAGATTGTGGGTAATCATTTGATCTAAACATCATCCACATTCACGTCCACATACCCCTATCTGTCCTCTGTCTCCCTGCACTCCACTCACATCCACCCCATCCGCTCGCGCCGCCCCCTCACCCTACGCTTTCTTCTCCGGTGTCTCTCTCACCTCCGTAACGCCTTCGCCGCCAATAGCCTTGGCCGCCGTAGCAGCCAGGACGTCCCTGTCGCTCTTCTCACTTTCGAACAAGAAAGTCAATTCCTCCAGGGTCTTGCCAAACGTCTCCGGGAAGAAGAAGTAGATGAAGACGACTTCGAAGCAGAGCCAGACGACGTAGACGATGAGGTATTTCCAGTCAATGTTTTGCAGGCCAATGGGATTGACAAAGGAGCCGAACATGACTGCGGTTCTGTTTTTGAAGAGTTGGTTAGGGGGCTAGGTTGGGTGGTGGGGGTTGGGGTTGGGATGGGAACTTACCTTCCCCAGAGTTGGAACCATGATAATCCTTTTGTCCGGACGTAAAAAGGGAAGATCTCAACCATGTAAACATATGTGAGAGCGTTATACGCAATACAGTAAGCCGGTTTGTACAGGAAAATGAAGACAAGGACTGCGTAGCCGGAGCCCTTGGTTCCTTCGATGCGGTTACGGGCTTGGGCAATAGTCCAGGCAGTGTAAACAGCGGCCAGGCAACTCGCACACAGGAGGTACATTCGCCTCCTAGGATACCGGGGCGTGATAGCAGCCATGATAATGGCAACCACGAACCCCCAGGCCTCGGATCCAACGTTGTAGCGGACTTGGGTATGCGAATCGCTAATGCCAATCTTGTCGAGAATCTGTACCAGATATTGGCTAATGAGATTATTCCCGCTGAACTGGACAAACAGGCCCAGAGCGGCAGCAACCAGACTTCGATGCCTCATGCCCTTGGTCTGGAACAGCTCGCCCCATCCCCTCGCTCGACTCTCATTCTCCATCTCCAATGCCTTTCTGATCTCCGCAATCTCAATATGCGGAAGCTCTTGACTCGCATCGCCCTCTGCATGATACTTGATCAGAATCTCCAGCGCCTCCTCACTTCGATCCTTACTCACGAGCCACCTTGGCGACTCTGGAATGGTAAAAGCAAAGATGATTTGAATGACACTTGGGGCCGCTTGCAGAATCGAGGGCAGGCGCCAACACCAGTCATTTGGGATCAGCAGCGTGCGCACGACGATGCCTGCGCCGAGGATGGAGCCGACGCCGAAGAAGGCGTTGAACATGGAGCCGAGGAAGGCGCGCTCTTTGGGATGTCCGAGTTCGCCGAGGAGAGCGGCTCCAGAGACAATGGCGTACACGATGCCATGGCCGAGGAAGATGCGTGAGAAAATGAACATGGCGACTGTGCAGATTGGGATATTAGAAATAGGTTGTCTTGTGCAGATTGGGATATTAGAAATAGGTTGTCTTTGTGTATATGGACGATAGATAACAGATAAAGGGAACGAAGAGAAAAAAACTCACGATTCTGCGAAAGCCCCTGCATGATTGCTCCAATGATCATAATCACACTCCCAAACACTATACTCTTCCTCCGTCCCAGATGATCACACACCAGCGACACGAACGGTATACTAGAAATAGCACCGAGATTGTAACACGCAACCAGCAAGCCCAACTCCCCGCCTTTCGGGTGGTTGAAGTATTCCCGCCAGTAGGGCAGCGCTTGTAGCCCGTTCATCATACTGCTGTCGAAGCCGGATGTCGACTCGATGAAGAGACAACATGGTACGAGGAGGAGGTAGAGACGCCGTAGATTGGGCTTATTCCACCAGCGCACAGGGTCGTCTGCGCAGAGTTGTTCTACGATGCCCAGTTCGACTATGGAGGGGGGTGCGGGGACCATTGTGGCGAGGGGTGTGGGCCAGGGAGGGAGGGGTGTAGGGGGGTGGTGCTGTGCCAGATGGCTTTCAGAGTGAGAGGTGAGGGGGGGGGAGAGAGTGAAAAGAGAAAGGTTTGTTACATCTTGAGAAGAACCAAATCACATCATCTTATAGAATAAGAATCCAGACTAAAATGCCATGGTAGTCCAGTATCAAAGATCAGCAGGCACCCAAGGCGCCTGTTTGAAGAAAAAGAGCCCGATGAGCATGTTGTTGCATTGGATTGGGCCCGACTTGGCTTTGAGGGGTTGAGCGGTGGATCACCCTGTGACTGTCCTAGCCCTAGTAGCAAGGGTCGATCTCTTGTGGTGATGCTACCTAAGGTCGGGCGAAGTTGAGCCAGCTTCATGGGTTCGAAGGAACGTTCGTATTGTTTCCGGTATTACGGCACAATGATACACGGTGATAGCTTGGTCGTGTATTGGGATATCATAGGCACTGCGTGCCTGCTGATCACATTTTCGGCTTCTATTCTCATTCTGATAATTACCCAAACGAGAGGTATAGGTTCTCGCTCTTTATGTCCAGGAAGATTGACATGGAATTTGTGTGTGGGGTGCCAAAGTAACGCAGTGATGATAACCCGGTGGCCGAGCCTGTGGCCTTGCGCTAAACCAGATTGGATACGGGCCGTCTCCAGGCAAGGAAAGTGGCAATGCGGGGAAGCCTTGATAACGGTTGCTCACCCCAGATTCCGTCAATGGCAAATCTCAAACCGGCATCAGATCGGCGGTTACATGTGGTGAAACGCTCGTGCTATATCGGTGAAGGACTTGCAGATTTTCTTCAAAGTACTGTAACCGTGTTTAGGATATACGAACAGTATCGGGTAACTGATTGATTGAAGAAGAGATGGAAGAGAACCCAAAGATCTCCTCATCTAGCTACCAGAATAGTCCCACTTGGGACCTATCTTGGCCAACCCCGGTAGGATCATTCACCACCACAGGCACAGTCAGGTAATATAGATGACCCTGGAAAATAATAAGCCATGTTTCAATATCTAAAATGCTAAAATAGCATAAAGCAAAACATCATCGTGACAAGAGTGCTCTAGTAATTCTTCAGAACCAGTCAACCTCATGGTCTTTCTTTGAATACCCATATGTTGCTGTGCATGCCTGTATGCCGATTTCTTTGCGCAGCGTACAGGCTATGAACACTCAAATCAACGCGCACCAGAGCGTCAAAATACACAAACACAATGATGATTCCTAGCGTGAAGTTGCTACATGAAACAGTGCTCTGGGAAAGCATCGAACGGCGTGCGTAGTGTCTGTTCCAATGGTGAGCAGCGAAGCCAGAACTACAAAGACTGGCAGCGAGCTAACAACAGTGAGAAAAGTGGTGTCGTAGAGCTCAAGAGAGCCAGCACTTTTCCAAGTCCTCTGTCGCAGTGTGTATGATCTTGGCACGATTGATGTGTTGTGTTGTCAATTGTAAGGGAAATCACCACCAAGACGTACCGGTAGAGAATCTGAACGCGACAGATATTACCGAGTGCACATCGAGAAGCTTAAGAGTCATTAGACAGTACTCACATGTATTGAATGGCGCACACATTATTGTGAGAAGGTATAAAGACTATACTTGCCGAATAAAGCAGCATTGCAAAGAAATACATGGCCTCTCTTGCCATTGAGCTGAAAATTCGTCATGTAGGTGGTTGCCCCTATACCTAGTGAACCGTGCCAAGGAATTGCTGTCACTGGCACATCAACATCCTTCTCTGGTGCAACACCCAATGTCTGGTTGTTGGGCGCCCATGTTGCACCGTGATTGGCCTATATCAGCTTCAACTAGAGAAAGATATTCGACGCGAGACGTACGTGCTAAAACGTGCGCCAACCTAGGCCTCCAACACTACGACACTCCGCCTACGCCCTGATTGATTCTTCTCGTCAACAAATAGAACGTGCAAGTGTTCATTGGCCACAATGCGACGACAAACGCATTTGCTTCTCGGAGCTGTTAGAAAAAAGAAGGGTCTTTCAGTGAACGAATAGTGGTGGCAGTTGAAGGTGTAGACTCTAAGTCTGCAATATGTAGACTCTTTGACTCGTATTGATCTTAATATATTCCTACCAACGCCAACCAATTGCCAGGTCAAGAAGTATGCAAACAATGACGCTTCATCCATATTTTGTTCATACACAGACCCATAATTGGCCTCCATCCTTCAAACCTTCCCCCACCGAATGGTAGACGCCAGAAATCTGCGATTGTCGTTGTCCTCCTTTTAGTACTGCAGTCAAGCAGTCTGTTTAGATGAGATGCTTGCTCCTGAAGTACGCGCGCAGATAGACAACCTGCCATGCGCCCAGGCCAACGAGCATGCCCATGGTACCTAGTGCAAACCACTTGACACGCTCGTTTGTGCTCTCATTTGTGTCTCGGAGCTTCTGTTCGCGGGTCCTCAGGTAGTCCATCTCGGCCACAATCTCTTCGACAGTCTCCTCGACACGCCTAAGCTCCACCTCAACGGGCTTCAACTTCTCGCTGGCCTGAATCGCGTTCCAGTCCTTAGCATCAGCTCCAATATCAATATCGAGCTCGACGTGGCGCGGGTGCATCCAGGCTTCTCCGGTGAGAACATTTTCAAAGCAGACGTCAAAGGCAGAGTCGGCGTGGGAAGTGAAAGCATAGCGGTTCTCGCCTACTACGTCCTTGGGGCGGTGGTAGTCATTGCCCATGGCATCGCGAATCTGAGTTGTCGTTGTTTAGTAAAGGCTAGGAGGTGGCATTGCACGAGAGCAATCACATACATGCATGTTGACCCTCTGGCCGTCGCCTCTATATCCATCCAGAGTCGCCGTTACAACGACCAACTGCTCCTTGGCCACAAAGTTGCGCACGCATCGCTCGTACTTGGCCGCTTCGTTCTGGTAAACAGGCGTCAGGTCGAATTTGAGGGCAGTGGTGAGAGGCAGAAGTGCCAGCAGCAGGCAGCTGAGCAGTCGTGATATCCGATCCATGGCGATTGGGTCTTGGAAGTTGCTTTTAAGCCAGAACTACGGTACCTCATCAT